GTTCAGCTACTCTGCTGTGCCTGGTTGCACAGCTTGGCTGGGGCAGCGCTGCAGGAGCAGTGGAGCTGCTGGGTGGCCAAGTGCAGGCTGACTCAGATGTTGTGGGGGTTGGCTGGCTCCTCCTGGGGGACTTGTCACTGCTGCTTCTCCTGGCCGTGATGAGCCCTGCTGCTGCTCGCAGTGGCTGGCCCAGCTGGTCTGAAAGAGGAGGCTACAGTCAGGCAGCTGCAGCCCTCGGTAACTCTGCAGGCCAGCACTGGCAACTTCCCCAGTGGCGGCTGTGACTCCCCAGAGGTGGGTGAGAGTGACTCAGGCGGAATAATCAGTGGAGACTGGGGGAGAGGGATCCCTTCTTGTCTCCTGATCAGTGCCACAGCCTTCCCCTGCCCCAGCAAGAGAAGAAGCTACTCTGCAGATGTCCCTAGGCCTGGCACCCACTTCTGAATGCCCCATGTTCTCCCCATTGTTGTATCACAGAGATCAGGCAGCTGCCGCCCCCACAGCAGGCACCCCCAAATAGACAGTGGCCCAGCAGCAAGGAGTCCCCACCTCCTCCTTGTCCAGCGTGCTGGTCAGGGCCCTCTCTCTCCCTCTGTCCCTTTAAAATACATGAATGGGGGGGCCTGAGGGGAAGGGCCCTGACCCCTGCTTGTGGTTGTGGGAAGCCCACTGGGAGGGGAAGGCAGATATCAGGGGCTGTGCAGCACCAGGTCCTGCTTCACTTCATGGGTATGGTGTGTGTATGTGTGTGTGTGTGAGAGAGAGAGAGACAGACAGACAGAGAGAGAGAGAGAGAGCGTGCGCGCGTGAGAGAGAGACACCCTTGGCTTCATGCAGCCCCAGCATGGAGATGACTGTCCTTGCAGGGAAACAGGCCCCAGACCTTTCCCACTCTTCTGTCTGCAGAAGAACGGGGGCCTGAAATGCTCCATTCTTGGAGGAGCAGTGCAAGGGGTTCCTCTCTGGATCAGGTCACAGAATCCTAGTGGAGTGGGGCTGGGAGGGACCTGCAGGGGTCACTTCTAGCCCAGCCCCTTCCTGAGGCAGGAACATCCCTGTCTAGACCATCCTGTATACACCCATACTTTAAATTCTACATAAAATGACTGGCAGCCTGACACAAGGTTCCCCTGCCTCAGCTGCTCGAGTGGTGAGCGGGGAGCGGAAAATTCAGGAAGACCCCAGATGGGCCAGATCAGCCCTGCCCCAGATCAGCTTCCCTCCAGTCTTGCAGCTGCTGCAGAAGGCAAGGGAGGCCTCATTCTAGCACCCCCTGGCTTCTAGCCTGAGCCACTGCAGGCATGTGGCTGCATTTCCAGAATCAAAAGTGAATGCCTGTTCACTTGCTTCCCGGTTCAATCTACACAGGTTAGACTAACCTGCAAAGATTGAATTGATTTGCGCTTGGGCTTTTTGAATGTCTGTACTTAGCCAAGGAGTCAGTTGCCTGTGAAAAAGGGACTGCTCCAGTGAAGTGCTGAACTCCTCAGTTCCTACTGACAGCTGTGGGAGGTGGGGGTGCCACCTACCAAGACCCAAGAATAGTAATGTAGAAATTGTCCTGGGCTGAAGGATAAAATGTTGGAACAGTAGGAATAGCTCAGTGTTATTCTGTACACTCCCAAATCTGAATAGCAGCACCTTTGTGTTTTCTTTCAGTTTATCTAAAATACCTGGAGCTGGATAACAGGGATGGAAATCCTACAGAGCAGAATCTCCACCATGACCCAGGTGACATATAATGGGGCTGGCAGGCAGGGTACCTGAATTCTACCTCCAACCTGCTCTTGAACACTGTGAAGCTGTGAACAAGCGAGCCACCTCCCTGTGCCTCAGTGCCCACCTGTTGCATGGGAGTGATTCTTGCTCAATTTTGTAGAGTGTTTTTTTTGACAGATAGAAAGTAGAATGTAAAATATTTTCCTTGTTAATTTCTGGTCGGCATGGAAGAGCAAGTAGGCAAAAATGGAGAATAATGGGAAAAACTAACCAAATAGATCTAAACCTGTAACATAGTCTGATTCAGATTTTCAACTATGGTGCAGGTAGGCTGTTTTTTCTCATCACTACTTGAAAGTGTATTTTGAAAAAAAACATTATTTTGCATGTTTGTGTTAAATGAGGATCTCTGAACCTAAAATCTCTTTTGAGGTACAGCTGCCTTTCTGCATTTCTGTAATTTACTATTTCAGGAAACACTGCAGCTCCTAACAAACCATAAAAAGGAACAACAAACATGCTACAAATGGAGGAAGAGATTATGGACTTCAAGCAGATTTACTCTTTAGACTCCAAATGTGCAACTAGAATTAGTAACAGATAATAAAGGGACTTGGGAAAAGATACTACAAAGGGAGGCAGGAGCTCTTTAACTGAGCTACCCACACTCTCCGTAAAGCATGGAGATTCACAGCAGGTTATAAGACAGGAGCACAGCACACTTCTCGAGGTGTACTTGGATTAGGGAATATACAGGTCTGTTTGGATTTTTCATTAGTGGATCAAGGGGAATGATTTGTGTGGAGTGCCTTGTTTGTTCATGGTTTTACTCATTCTGACTGGGAACTGTGTTACTAGGGAAGATTCTTCAAGGGAGAGCAGACTATGAATCATTGAACAGTATGTATGTGTATTCTCATTAAGAGACAATTGGTGATTTGACAGTTTTATTGCAGCTATATGATCCAGGAGAGAACTGGGAGGGCTTAGGGGTGACAGGACTCTGCAGTCCTAGTGACAGAGCCATTGTCAGGCAAAACTGTGCAGTAAAGTGCAATACAGGTTTTCCTCCTGGTTTCCAAAGTTGGGATGGTTTTCATTTCCTCAGCTCTGAAGGGCCACATACAACTCTGAAAACCTTGCAGAGTGTAAGGTAAGTGCAAGCCACTATCTTCATTTACACAGGGAAAAGGAACTGTGGAAAACTAGAATTTTAAAAAGTATGCTACATTTTTGCAAAATGATCGCACTTCATTTATACCCAGCTGATCAATACACCACATGAGAGTAATCATCTGACAGCACAAAGGCAAAGCTGTGTAAAAGGCTAAGAAGGCTGAGGGTCATGACTCTCTCCCTCCCTTTGCCTCTCCATTCTTGTCTCCACCTCCTCTACTCTGTGATTGCCTCCTGGGTTGGTAGTGCTGGGTCAGCCCAGTCCTATGGACTGTTAGCTAGTTGCCTGGGGATTTCTATCAGAATAGGGAAAGGACTCTTCAATTCCCCCTCCCCTTCCTCTCCTCTCAAAGGCAGTCTGTTTTGCAGAGGGAAAGCTCTCATCTGTAGCTGCATTCGTTCTCATGAGTGTCATAGATCAGCTATAGGGAACCTGCTTTTTAAACTGTTCTAATGAAATGGGATCTGAAAGGGACTTGCCAGTCTGGTAATTGGTCATGTAAGGAAGAAAGCCCAGGAACCTTGGGGTGAAGAAAGTGTGGGGCTGTAACTATGTGGAAAATGTGTTATGGAATTATACATCGTTCATTCCTTGTTGTGTTCAAGTTTTTGCAGGGGAGAACGGAGAAAATGTGTTGAATGCAATTGCCCAGCAGAAACAGCTCCAAGCTGGTGAAGATGGAGAATGGCACAGTGGATGAACAGAACCAAACTGGGCTGCTGCCAAGCCAAGAAATTATCACTACTGAATACCAAGTGGTTACCATCCTCTTGGTCCTCTTCATCTGTGGACTTGGCATAGTGGGCAATGTCATGGTGGTTTTGGTAGTCCTCAAGACTAAACACATGAGGACTCCTACTAACTGCTACCTGGTGAGTCTCGCTGTGGCTGATCTCATGGTGCTGATGGCTGCAGGACTACCCAACATTACTGAGAGCCTGTATGGATCTTGGGTCTATGGTTATGCAGGATGCCTCTGCATTACTTACCTCCAGTACCTAGGCATCAATGCTTCTTCTTGCTCCATCACTGCTTTCACCATTGAGAGATACATAGCCATCTGCCACCCAATCAAAGCCCAATTCTTATGTACTTTTTCAAGAGCCAAAAAGATCATTATTTTTGTCTGGGCTTTCACCTCCGTATACTGTATGCTCTGGTTTTTCCTTCTAGATCTCAACACTGTAGTCTACAAAGATACCATTGTTGTGTCCTGTGGCTACAAGGTGTCCAGAAGCTACTACTCCCCTATATATATGATGGATTTTGGTATATTTTATGTTGTGCCAATGATACTGGCCACTGTCCTCTATGGTCTGATTGCAAGAATATTATTCCTGAATCCCATCCCTTCAGATCCAAAAGAAAATTCTAAGACATGGAGAAACAACTCAACTCACCAAAGCAAGAATGTGAACTCCAAGACAACAAACAGGTGTTTCAATAGCACTATTGCTTCTAGAAGACAGGTAGGAAACTCAAAGAAATAGCTTTTTGAAACCTAAATAACATTGCTTTAGGGATCCTCTAGATGTGTAAAAAAGTGTAAAATGTACTGTTTTTTTGTGAAGCTAGATGATATAAATATGATAAATACTTACAAAACATAGAGAAGCACTCTCAAACATATATATCATTTCTTTAGATTTTATGTAGAAAAATGATAAAAGTAGAGTAGATTAGAATAAGGAAATATCCTTAGAGCATTTTATGTAGTTTAAAGACATGCAGAAAATCTTAAAATCTACCCATTCACAGCATTCAATTAGGGCATTTTACTAAGTATATTGAACCTAAGGATGATCTATAAACTACTGCCTACTCTAGGTATATACAGGATATATGTGTTGAGAGATAACTGATGGTCTTATTTTGATGTTCCAGGAAGCCAGCTATATATATATACTGTCAACATGAGGTTTTAAATGTGAAGAAAAAAATGCCTTTCCCCTCAAAATGCACTCTGCTAATAATGCAGGCAAATATACCAGGTAATTCCTGAGTTATTTCTGTGATCTATAAATAGGAAACAAAACTGGAAATTCATGAGACCTGAGTTTTGATGTCTTTCCTAGACTGTAGGAAAATTACTACCTTGTATATCTCGGTTTCCCCAGCTATGAAATATAGATAAGTAGCTTGTAGTTGTAGCAGTCTGGAAATGGAAAGTGTTAAATGAACTATTAGTATCACTTTTATTCCATCTGTTGGGCAATTCATTGTCACCAACAGTATTAAATGATGATGCTTCGAAGTGGATAACAGATTTGATCAGATTAATTATAACTGGATACGTATGCCAACATAGTTGAGAGGTACATATCTGTACCAACAGGATTCACAATAATAACTAATATTATACTTGACACTGAGAGCAGTTCACACTTTTTTAACATCCAGTCCTGAGAGGGCAACATCAGCCAACTGACCATGCCCAGGTCCATAATGTACTAAAGTTTTAATTTAAGTGTGAGCACCTATTTCCACCCTCCTCACCCCCCCACCCCCCCGCTTGCCAACTACCCTCCTGCTCTGCCCTTAGAATCTTCTGCATCAGGCTCTCGATCTTGTGGTAAGATCAAAAGGAAGCCTAATTCCTGTAAATATAATGTTTGAAGTTGT